ACTGACAGCGGTTGCCAAGTTTGCGGTGAACAAAGGCAGACAGCGTGAGTCAACAGCGGCAGGCTCCCACACGTGTATCACCCCTTATCTGCGCATGTCTCAGACGTGTTTATGATCACATATGACTACGGATTCCCGACGGAATCCGAAACGTCAGGACAATAAAACTCTTGTGCCAGTGATCGCTTCTTCTTCTGAACTGCTTCCTAGAACTCGTATATTCTCTATTGGCGAGAACCACTATGATCATCACTCTATACAAACGTTCTCATACTTGTCTAGATTGCTCGCAAACCAGCAAACCTAAAATTCTCGTCAGTTGAACATGGCCTGCGGGTTATTGAGTTGTGTTGCAGGATAGACTATTTATGATTGGTGCCCAGCAGCCCACATAAACTGTCGGCTGCTAGGCGACACAGAAAGTTCGTCACCGAGACCACAGAATCCGAGTGATACGACGTTCAGCAACGAAGAAAAGATGGGCTGTGGTGTTGGTTTTCTCAAATTCCTCCTCATCGGTCTCTGCGTTCTCTATGGGGTAAGTAGTGGGGAGTCTGCATTATATGACTAAATATCGAACCACAAAAGGTTACAGTCGAAATTCAACTTCGCATATTTGGTGTTTAGCTTATAAACTCCATATCCTGTCCTGCTCTCTTCACAGCGACCGTTAGTCGAAAGAAAATTTAAAAAATAACAATAAGCTATAAGTATGCCTCGATTAATTTTATTCCTTCTTATATGTTATTAAAATCGGCAGTGTGGGATCCAGTGAAATCTGTTATTCATATTTTGTCGGTGCGATGAGTTACCTAAACTTTTAAAAATATATAAAATTTAATCGATTTTGCACGAAAAAGTATCTTACAAGAAGTTTTAAGCGAAGGTCAGATTAGGCGTCTCATAAGGAAGAATAGGTTAAATCCAGTTCTAACTCTATTTTCATAAATAACTTACTAACTTGTTTGGTTCCAAATTGTGCTATTCGCACCTGGGCTAAGATAGAATCGTACAACAACTTCAAAAATGGATAATTCATTTCAGGGCTTAACTTTAGCGATCATTAAGAGCAAGGGTGCCGGGTAATAGTTGGATGCAAAGTAGCTTATCATTGAAATCGTCACATGTTTACGAATCTAGCAAGTAAGTGAGGTTGAGCGAATTACGAAATTTTAAGCTGTTGAAGTTTTTCTCACCAGTATCAGAATTGTTTTAATAAACGTTTTGCTTTCATTACGATTTAAGTCATTCACAAGATGCAGAAATTGGACCACTTAAACGATCCTAAGAGATGCTACAGCTCGTGATCAAAGTGATATTGAACTGCGGTTATAAATAAAATATAACCGAGGTCTTAATATTTAGGATAAGTACACAGTATTATTTCTTTCGAAATAAAAGGTGCCATTTTTACAGGAAAATATTGTGACATAGTGGTGTAATCGATAGTAATTGCAGATTAAGTTTTAGTTTGACGAAATTCGTAAGACTACAAATAGTTTCAAAAGCGGAAACCACTTCGTGGTTATTCGCAAAAAGTAAATTCGTACTCAAATACCACCTTAAATTCCTACAAAATACTAGTACAAATCCTAATGATTTTAATAGATATTATCACATTTTGATTTCTTTGAGGTGTATGTAGAAACAAGATCAACGAAAATCAGTTTGTTGCACTGTATGCTACACTTTAAATGATAGAAATTGCTTCCCTGGTATTCTGTCCACAAGTGTTCATGCTTTTTCGGCGCATCATCATTCAACCGGGATAACGTGTGCAGACAGTCCGATTCTCATAATAGATGGTTTTATGAAAATTAGACACTTCTGAGAACGAGCAACATGTACCTTTTGTTTTTGTTAAGGTAATTGCAATCGCCTTCTCCGCGGCCGGCATCTACCTCATTGTGCAAGTGCAGAAGGTACCTGATCTTGGCGATGCGGCAAAATGGGCTCCTGGACTCTTAGTGGCCATCGGAATTTTCCTCGGAGTTGTTGCTACTTTTGGCTGTGCGGGCGCAGTGACGGGAAATAGGTGCCTTCTTATCATTGTAACGTGTTCGTTTCTTCTCTTGTCATATCCTGTCTAGTTCGCCACATCGACAAGTGCCATACTGGCGGCAGCCTTTATTTATGGTTTAACGATTTTGGTTGTTGGTACGCAGGTAGGTTGAGTTAAAAGGTGCATTTTTTCGTTTCCCCAGATGACTAACTTAATGCTGGATGTCCTGATTGAGGTTTTCAACAATGATCAGGAGGCAGCGAAAACCTGGTTGGGTGCGATTGAAACTGCGGTATGATTTTGAAATTCAACCTATCCGCGGTCACTAGTTTAAATGCTGCGGAATAAAAGGCTCGAACGATTACACGAACAACAATATTCCAGCTACCTGTTGTGGGGATGGAACAGCTGAATGTACTGCCGTAGAAGCGTATCAAGAGGTAAGGAAGGATTCGGAGCGCTTATGCTGTTATTTTCACAACGTCAGATACCTGTCCAATGATGTTTTCCAGAGATGCACTTCAGGGGTATATAAATGTATATTTGAAATGCTTACAGCAACCCCGTTAAAAAGACTATTACTTAGTGAGAAGAAGAGGTTTGCTATCCTTCGAAAGATAGTAACATGATTTTCTCATAACAAAGGAAACATTAATAGTCAATGATCAGTCGAAACTGAATGCAGGATAACTTTCACTTGTGCTATCGCGACTTAATTAATTTTAAATTAAATTGTTGCAAGTTAAAAGCTTGCGTAGATATTTATGACTTTTGAATAGAACAGTCGAAGTTACAGGATGCGTTTATTCTGAAAAATTTTTCGAACTCTTAGATGGATACCGATCATCATATTATCAAGAAATCTTTGTGCTGACGTTAAAATATGACCGTAGATTACTATATAAATGGCTATACATAGCTTGACATTGAATTATGGCGCCAAACAACCTATTAACAACAACCTATTAGCAACACAATGTTATTAACAAACGTTTGCTTTAAGGGCTGTGGCCTGCAGACCGCGAACAAGATGCTGGAGTCCTCAAAGGCAATTGGCGGATGTTGCATTGCCCTTGCGATTGTTCAAGTCTTTGCGGTCATTGGGGCATATATGTTGATGTCAAAGTCAGCCTCCTATGAACGGGTTTAAAAGCTGCTTTTAAAGCAGCATGTGTCATGCTTTGCACTTGTGTCTGTTATTCATTTCGAAATACATTTCCCAAATTCTCTGAATTGTTACTCTCTTTTCCGAACACACCAGACCTAGCTGAGTGAAGAAAAATAGGCATTGATCAGGAGCAGCCAGTTTCTGCTCCTACTAATTTATTTATCGAAGAAAACGGCTCCCATGGTCGAATTTTTTGTCTGCTTGCCTAAAATCATCTTAAAAAAATTATCTGGCACTAGGTGTTATTGCGAGTACTATTTATTCGGGAATTCATGTGATATCGTTAAATGTAAGGTCGATGGGTATTCTGGTAAACTTGGTTAATTACTAGACCAAACTTTGGGATACTGGAAAAGTATGCCTCTAGACAATATTTGTTTTGCCTAGTCCACTACTGCGTGGCCGCTTACTAACTCGTCATGCCGGCCAATTAGTTCATAGGATCGGTTTTAGTCGGTTGAAACTCTGTTTAGTCCGAATCGCTCTACAATTACGCGCCAGCTAATGCTCTGCTACAACCAAAAGTTGCAAACAAACGTTGTTACTTTTGACCACAAATAATCTACTTTGTCTGGTCCATTACGGCGTTCCCCATTCTAAACGCGTCCTATTAGCTATTAAGCATATATGATCCGCCCTTCCTGAGTAAAAGGTTCAACCTGGGCTCAGTCCTAACCTCTAAATAATTACGCGTCCGACAAATTACTGGCAGAAACAAGAATTATAATACACGCGTAGAGCGGTACCACCCGTGGCATCATTGAGGCCGACAAGCTCAGGCGTGCTCATAGCCATATTAAGTGCAAGTAACTACTATTAAACGACGCGTGGAATATAAAGGCTTTGCCATTTCAGAATCTAGGTCATTTAACAGCTTGGCCAGGCTTTCATAGGGATATGGAGAGGTCTGTTAGTTTAGGTTGAATAACTTCGCCTGAGTTTTTTCTTCGGTTAAGAGGACTTGGTCAATAATTGGCATCACTTTTTCTTCATAAGTGGGTGGGAAAAACTCGGATTTAGTCGTCACGAAGAACCGCAGGAACCGAGGGAGGGGGTCAATCTTATTCTTAAACTCTGAAATTTTCGTACCTTCGACAACTCGAAATACGGGATATATGATCTTTGTCCTGCGTAATCGGCCTTATATCACTGTAAATGACTATAGGATGAACCGTGGTACGTTTTAACAGACCCTTGCAGAAGATCCGTCAGGCTCTGGCAATTGAAGTATTGATCCAGAGAACTGTAAGCTGTAACTGTTGGGAAATTCAGACGTCTTATCAGTGAGGGATCTTTTTCTCTTTTAGTTGGCTTCCGTTTTTAACAATGCATTCAACCATTGAGGTCTGTTTTCAATTTCTACAAGATATGCTACTGAGCGTTTTGACCGCCGAGAGTCGGGTTTGGACGTGATGTTATAAATGACGTAGACTGCTAACTATATCTCAATTGACTTACCTCCACACAACCTTATGTTGCATAAAATAGTTGGCAGAACAGAACGCCAATG